CAGGGATGTAAAAGGAAATTAATGTTGTTTTAATGCCTGCTAACGTGCCATCCATTCTGATCTATAACTCCATCACAGATCAAGGAGTTATTTTGACTATCAAGTCTTATTATTTAAGTAATACATTTTGTAAAGGTGTAGCTGCCATATATAGTGATTCCTCTGATGGATTTAAACAAATAATTTGAAAACCTTTTATATATAATTCACCATTGTAAATAATATTAAGAACATTCATGATTAATGGGAGGAGATTAAAGTATCAACATTAACAGGAATTTGAAAGAAGTTGATTCCAGCCCTTATGGATGACTTTGAGGGATTAAAGACTTCAATAGAGGGAGGTCACTACAGATGTAATAGAAATGGCAAGAGAACTAGAATTACAAGTGGACCCTGAAGATGTGACTGAATTGCAGTAATCTCACGATGAAACTTGAACCAATAAGGATTTGCTTCTTATGGATGAGCAAAGAAAGTTTCTTGAGATAGCATCTACTTCTGGTGAGGATGCTGTGAACATTGTTGAAATGTCAGCAAAGGACTAAGAATATTCCCAAACTTAGCTGATAAAGCAGAAACAAGGTTTGAGAGGAGAGGATTGAGTCCAGTTTTGAAAGATGTTCTACTGTGAGTAAAATGCTATCAAATCACATCACATGCTACAGAGCAGTCTTTCATGAAAGGTGAGTCAGTTGGTGATGGCAAACTTTGCTATTATTATTTTAGGGAACTACTATAGCCACCCAGGCCTTCAGCAACCACCATCCTGATCAATCAGCAGCCATCAACATTAAGGCAAGAAGGATTGTCCCTTGCTGAAGACTCAGATGATTGTCATTTTGTTTTGTTTTGTTTTGAGATGGAGTCTTGCTCTGTCACCCAGATTGGAGTGCAGCAGCATGATCTTGGCTCACTGCAACCTCTGCCTCCCAGGTTCAAGTGATTCTTGTGCCTCAGCCTCCCAAGTAGCTGAGATTACAGACACCCACCACCATGCCTGGCTAATTTTTGTATTTTTAGTAGAGATGGGGTTTCACCATGTTGGCCAGGCTTGAACTCATGACTTCAGTGATCTGCCCACCTCGGCCTCCCAAAGTCCTGGGATTACAGGCATGAGGCACCACGCCCAGCTGATTATTAGCATTTTTTAGCAATAAAGTATTTTTAAGTTAAGATATATGCATTTTTTATAGACATAATGCTATTGTACACTTACTGGACTGCAGTATAGTATAAACATAAGATTTATATGCATTTCGAAAAGCAAAACATTTGTATGACTTGGTTTGTAATATTTGGTTTATTGTGATAGTGTGGAAGTGGACTGGAAATATCTTTGAGCTATGCCTGTATGTTACCTGCCCATTAGTTACTTGGTAGCTGTCTTGATTATTAGATTGCAAAAAAAACAGTGTATTCTGAGTTTGGTACTTTCTGTTGTTTCATGCAGCTACTAGAGGTCTTGGAATGTATCCCCTGCCAATAAGGGGAAACGGCTGTAATCTGCTAAAGACCATGAGAGTTTGGGCTACAATGATGGAGCTCACTCTGGAGAAAGTTATGGGAGAGATTGGTAAAGTTGTTTTCTGTGAGGATATTTTAGAAAATCCTAGATCTCAGGTTGCCTCAGCAAAATAAGAGGTGTCTCATTAGGTATAAGCCCAAATACCTAAAAGGGCCTAGGGAGGTAATTTAAATGAGACTGACAGCCTATTCCTAGTCCAAAGGAGTCAACACGGCTTCAGTCCGTTGTTGACATATGGGAATACAGTGTGAAAACAAAACTGGAGGTCTGTATTATTAAAATTGAAATTTCCCAGTTTTAAAATAGTGTCCATTTATTAAAAAATTGTAAAATACTTTGTGTGTGCTAAATAATCATTAAGGGCCATTCTAATACATGCTGTTTAACTCAGTGGTCCTAAAGCAGTAAAATTCAGGAAAAAAAAATCACTAAAATTTATATAACTGTTTTCACTTCCCTTCATGTTACTTTGGGGTAGACCAGTATATTTTAAGGAACTGTTCAACCAGTATGGACTCAAACCAGTTGAATTCTTTCCATCCCACTTTCCTAGCTCAGGCAACCCCACATCTTCAAGAAAACAAAGTATAGCTTCAACTTCACGAAAGATTGAGAACCTGGCCCTTAACCTTTTAGTTAAACCTGCTTTGTAAAAATTCACTCCCAACTTCAAGGAAGAGCAAATTCCTAAAACACTTAAACTGCTGCTGTTCACTCTTCAAAGCTAGCATTACTCTGATACCAAAACTTGTTAAGACAAGCACAGAAATCAGTAACAATGGACCAATTTTGTTGATTATAAATACATTTTAATACTAAATAAAAGATTAACAAATCAAACGGTTTCATTTAATAAAGAAATAAGAGAACATGATAAAGCAGAGTTTATTTCAGAAATGTAAGAATGGGTTGAACACTAGGAAATCTATTAGCATAATTCATTATATAAAAGAGTCAGAGTGAAAAACAAATATAGTGATAGAGGCTAAGAACAGTTGGTAAAATTTTGCACTCTTTCCTGATTAATAGCATGTAGTAAAATAGGATAGAAGAAAATTTCTTTAAAGATGATAGTGCATTTTAAGAATACCAAATAGTGGGCGTGGTGACTCACATCTGTAATCCCAGCACTTTGGGAGGCCGAGGCGGGCAAATCACCTGAGGTTGGGCGTTCGAGACCAGCCTGGCCGACATGGTAAAATCGGTCTCTACTAAAAATACAAAATTAGCTGGGCATGGTGGTGCATTCCTGTAGTCCCAGCTACCCTGGAGGCTAAGGCAGGAGAATCACTTGAACCCAGGAAGCAGAGGTGGCAGTGAGCTGAGGTTGCACCACTGTACTTCAGCCTGCGCTCCAAAGCGAGACTCTGTCTCAAAAAAAAAAAAAAAAAAGAAAAGAAAACCAACTACAGTAGCACCAAATGGGCACATGCTTGCCTTACTGCATTAAAGCTGGATATTCTTTATCTTATCCTGTAGTCTGAAACGTTTTTCTGAGGTTTTGACCAATGCAATAGAAAGAAAGAAATGCATTATTTGTAGGTGATAATGATTGTCTATGTACAAATTCAGAGAGATGAGTTGTCAAGCTATTAGAACTAATAAGACATTTTTTCACAGTGTGGTAGAATACAAGGTAAATAAACAAAAATCAATAGCTTTCCTAAATTATGGCAATGAGAAATATCTCATTCACAAAAAAACTATAAAATATCTAGGAACAAACTTCCCAAGTATTATGCAAATCTATGTGAATTTTTTTTTACAGATTCTGATGCAGATATAAAATTTTTAAAAAATGTATCTAAAGATATAGAAGAGAAGTATTTCTGAATGGGAAGTCCTCATGATATTGAAAATTGTGAAAAATAAGAAAATTAGGAGAGAGTTTCCTTTATGAAAAGGCAAATATATAAAGAGGTAATGATTATAACTGTGGCATAGCATAGGAATAAGCAGATAATTAATAGACGAGAATGTTCAGAAACAGATATATTGTGTATATATACATATGTATACCTATTTGCAAATTTAGGTTGTAATTAACAGTGGCACTTCAAAGTAATGAGGAAATAATGAATTATTCAATAAATGACATTGGGGCAACTGGTTAACCATTTGGCAAAAATAATCTCTTATTAAACAGTTTTATTTCCAAGAAAGTAAATGAACAAATGTGAAGAAATGCCTGTTGAAGCTTTTTTTTTTTTTTTTTTTTTTTGGAATAGTGTAAAATAGAAAACCACTTACATGTCTATCCAGTAGATTATTTCAAATGTGTGGGTGTTTGTGTGTACGTAGCATACACAGAAATTATGGAATGCCATGAATCTACTTAAAATATGGCCAGGCACCAGAAGGCTCACGTCTGTAATCCCAGCACTTTGGGAGGCTGAGGCGGCGGATCACGTGGAGTGATGAGTTTGAGACCAGCCTGGCCAACATGGCGAAAACCTGTCTCCACTAAAATTACAGAAATTAGGTGGACGTGGTGGCACATGCCTGTAATCCCAGCTACTCAAGAGGCTGACAGAGGAATCGATTGAACCCAGGAGGCAGGGGTTGCAGTGAGCCGAGATCATGCCACTGCACACCAGCCTGGGTGACGGAGCCAGACTTCGTCTAAAAATAAAGCAAATAAATAAAATGATGAAATAGATTTATACTTAATGGAATGGTAGGATATCCACATCATCTTTAAAGTGAAAAAAAAAATCAGGTTCTAAATCTATAGGTATTCTTTGATCACATTTCTTTTTTTTAATGTGTAGAGGCATAGAAAAGTCCAGAAGGATCTATAACAAGCTGTTTTATTTTCATTTCCTGTGGGGTAGATCCTTTGTGGCATGGAATATTATTTCACTCTGTTAGATCTCTTTACATCAGTAGAAATATATCCTCATGGTTTTAGCTTAAACTTCTTGAGGGAGTTTTCCTGACACTCTACCCTAGGTAAACATGCTCGTGTAGAGCTCTACTCACCATATTACTTGTAAATCATATTGCATTTTTTAACTTTCCTACGTTACTTATTTTTTGCTTTCTTTTCTAGATTATACAATTCGTGAGGGTAGGGGACCGTTGTCCCTTGTGAGCAAGTAACTGTTACTTTATTGAACTCTGTGTGCCAAATACTGTGTTAAATGCTTTCTATAATCTCACCACAGCCTTAGGGAAATACTGTTATTACTACCATCTCCATTTCAAGGATAAAGATATTTAAATGAAGTTTCTCCCAGATGCCATTGGCAGGCCTGTGTGACTCTTGGCCGCTACACGGTCAGCAATAAAAATTGGTTAATAGGAAAGAAATAACAGCTAGCAATCGCTCGAGGATCACTGGATGGCATAGCTGGACCAGAAACCCTTTAAACTCCTTTATAAGCCAGATACTCGCAAGCCCCGCCCAGGACGGGAAACCTACGGAGAAACGCGTAGGGGCGGGGCGAGCTTGTGGGAGTGGGGCGGGGACAGCTCTGATTGGCCAGCGTCGGGCGGAAGTCGGGAGGTTGGGTGGTCCGAAGACGCTGGCTTGCGACAGGGAGGGGGAGAAGGAAGGCTTTCCGTAAAGGTTGCCTCTCCGGCCCTTCGCTCCCTGGGACCCGCGGAAGGGAAAAAATCCAACAGCCAGGCCCCGCGGCTAGCCCCTTCCCACAGGCTCTCGCCGCTTGATTTTGTCACCGTTATGTGGGAAGCGAATCCAGTGAGTAGTCGAGCGGGACGGGGCGGGCCCAATGGGCGGGGTTGATGCGTGAGGGGCGGGAGGGGGCTACCGGAACTGCCTCCCCGCGCCGGCTTCAGCCTGGGTGCCGAGTTCCGGCCGCAGAGGTCCCGGGCCTTTCGGCCCGTGCGGGCTGTGCACTGCTCAGCAGTGACGTTCTCCAGTGCTTTACGGTTTTCTTGTTACCGTTATTTTTTTCATTTCCCGCGGTGTTTCAGCCTTCATCCCTTCACCGTGTTTTTGTTGTTGGTTTTGAGACGGGGTCTCGCTCCGTCGCCCAGGCTGGAGCGCGGTGGCGCAATCTCCGCTCACCGCAACCTCCGTCTCCCGGGTTCTAGCAATTCGATTGCCTCAGTCTCCCGAGTCCCCTCACCGTTTTTTAATTTTTTTATTTTTTTACTTTTTTTTGAGACGGAGTTTCGCTCTTGTTACCCAGGCTGGAGTGCAATGGCGCGATCTCGGCTCACCACAACCTCCGCCTCCTGGGTTCAGGCAATTCTCCTACCTCAGCCTCCTGAGTAGCTGGGACTACAGGCACGCGCCACCATGCCCAGCTAATTTTTTGTATTTTTAGGAGAGATGGGGTTTCACCATGTTGACCAGGATGGTCTCGATCTCTTGACCTCGTGATCCACCCGCCTCGGCCTCCCGAAATGCTGGGATTACAGGCTTCAGTCACCGCGCCCGCCCTTTTTTTTTTTTTTTTTTTTTTTAAGTAATTGGAGTAACTGGCCTTGGAACCTGTAGTCAGTCACTTGCCTGAGGTTTACCTGCCTGTCCCACCCGTTTAAAGCAAGGGAATTCGCCCCCCTTTTCTTGAATGGGCCTAAGAGGAGCCGTCAGTTCTGTTCCCTTCTTGGTGGATAGCCGTTTCAAACTTGGAGGATGGACTCTACTAACTAGACGGCGAAGTTCTTAGATGTTTTCGATCAGTGGACAAAGTGATGTTCTGAAACATTTCAACTGCAAGTCCGTCTTCTTCCTTGGTTGACTCTGGTATTTTTATGATGACTTCATGTATTTTTATATGCTTTGCTTTTACACATGTATTTATTTAAAGTGCAACGTAGGGTCGGAAAAGTGTCATACCTTTCCTCACCACCTACCCATTATAAGGATCACAGCCACCACTGGTAAAAACAGAAGATAGGTTAACAAGGTAAAAGCATAGCAAATCTAATCAAAGTTTTACGCCGTCGGGCTTCAGAGACCAGGGAAATCTCTATTTTTATGCGTAGGACCCATGAAGAATAGACAGCTGTGTAAAAATGTGATTGGACAAAGGATATGCTCTAATGTTAATAAACTGAGGGCGGAAACCTAGCAAGGTCTGTTTGTTCAGATTCTTCTTGGCCTCTCTGTATCATTCCTTCTATGGAGGAGGAATGACCCATCTGGAATGAGGCAAGGTAGGTTAGAGAATTTCTTTATGGCCAGTTCCTACAGAGAATGGCAGGGAAAGATTACAGTACTAGTTTTTATGGCTTGCTTTGTAGGAGAGGAACTGTAGTTTTCTCTCACTCGCTTTGGGGAAGAGGAATTCTGGTTTCAGTGACTCACTTCAGGGACCAAAGATTGGCAGGAGACAGAAGGGCAAGAGAAGATCAGAGGGAGACTTTCCCGAGGCTGCTTCTGAGGCCTTCCAATCTCTTTTAGTTCGAAGTACTCAGCATGCCAAAGTGTGATACTTCGGATAGCATTTTCTGAGCGCCAACACAACCCTCAGAGAGTGGGATCTAATTGCCTAGAGTATTCATCTGTTGTTATGGTTGAAACTGCCTAGTAAAATGGCAGATGTACGGTATTTACAACCTGGGAGTTGACCGGGAAAATGGCAGAATCACATTTCAGCAAGTTGTTGGACTAAATGCAGCCGTGTGCCTCTTAACAACGGGGATACGTTCTGAGAAATTCGTTGTTAGGTGATTTATTTCATTGTGTGAACATCACAGAGTGTACTTTCATAAGCCTACCACACACCTAAGGCTATATGGAATCGCCTGTTGCTCTTAACCTAGAAATCTGTACAGCATATTATTGTACTAAATACTGTAGGCATTTGTAACACGACGGAAAGTGTTTATGTATCTAAACATAGAAAAGGTACAGTAAAAATACAGTATTCTAATCCTTGGGACCATTGTTGTATATGCGGTCCATGATTGATTAAAAGTTGTTATGCAGTGCGTAATTGTATAAGAAACATACAAAACTACCCCTGTACTGAGATAACGGTGTAAATTTACTTTAATGATCCCTAATTTCCATATTTGAAATAACTTCCTTCCTATAATCAGTAGTCTTCCCCTCTCATTTCTGGAATATATTTTCAGATAAGTTAGAAAGTTTATTGGTAAATTTCGCTATGTTTTTAAGTTAATATTATCCAGTAGAAACTAGTCTGTTGGTCTGGATTTGGTAGTTGCATATTATGGTTCCTTCTTGTGCATCATATAACAAAGTCATCATCTTAGTGGTTTTTCTTTTGATTCATACATATAATACTCTCATCAAGCTGCCTTAGAGGAAATTAATTGCTTGTATTTGATTCTAGCAAAAATAATTTAGAATAATGAGAATGTGCTCTCTGCTTATATATTCAGTTTCACTATCTGTCATCAACCATCTTTATCTTGTATTTATATCTGTATATATCTTTATGTAGATACAAACGCCATTTTTGTTATCAGTCATTTTTTTCTTAATTTTTCCATAACCCTTTAGCCACCCAAGTGTATGTCTAACTTAAGGTTTTAAATCTTTCACTCTATTGTAAGCTCCATATGGACAGCTATTTTTCTCTGTTATTTTTCCTATAGTATCTTCAACTAGAGAACAGGGCCTGGCACATAGTAGGCACTCAATAAATATTTGTTGAATTCATGATGGTAATTGCACCAGCATGGACTAGAGAGAGTTCTTTGCTCCTACTGTGAATTTTCCCTCCTCATCACACATATGTCAGAATTTGCTGTTGGATTATTTGTATGTTTGTGAGAATTATAAAGGCATTAATGAATGTTTTATATACTTGGTTTGTTATATATCATTATCTCATTTCTTTTTAAGAAATGAGTTTCGGCCGGGCACGGTGGCTCAAGCCTGTAATCCCAGCACTTTGGGAGGCCGAGGTGGGTGGATCACGAGGTCGAGAGATGGAGACCAACGTGGTCAACATGGTGAAACCCCGTCTCTACTAAAAATACAAAAAATTAGCTGGGCATGGTGGCGCGTGCCTATAATCCCAGCTACTCAGGAGGCTGAGGCAGGAGAATTGCCTGAACCCAGGAGGCAGAGGTTGCGGTGAGCCGAGATCGCGCCATTGCACTCCAGCCTGGGTAACAAGAGCGAAACTCCGTCTCAAAAAAAAAAAGAAATGAGTTTCTTTGAAATCACCTGTGTGATTTTGCTAGATTTTAGCAGAGCAGGCTGACTTTTGTTAAAAGTGGGGAACCCTCCACAGATCATCCCACATTCTTCTTTTGCCACCCAAATAAGACATATTTTATCTTATTGCTACTGTATTTTCTTACTACAAATACTGTTTTTCTTCCTATGAGCACATGAATGCTATCAATAAGCACAGTTTGGTTTTAAAAATCAACATTCTACATGTGGGTTTCTGTAGTAATTTATTAGTTTCTTTTAGTTTCACTTTCTGGGTTTCACATTCCACAACTTCAGTTACCAGAAGTCAGCTGCGGTCTGAAAATATGAAATGGAAAATTCCAGAAATGAGCAATTAATAACTAGTAAGTTGCATACTGTACTCTGTAGTGTGATAAAGTCCCACACCATTGTGCTCGGTCCTGCCTGGGACCACAAATCCCTTTGTCCAGCATATCCACACTGCATATACTCCACCTGCCTGCTGGTCATAGAGTAACATGTAATGGCACTCGCTCATTTATTGAGCACCTATTATAAGCTAGTTGGTGTGAAGTCCCAAGGTTTACAGTGGTGAACAGAACAGACTAGGCCCCAGCCTTTATGAGGTTGTAGCCTGGTGCAGGCAGGCAGACATTAAACAAATAATTACGCAAATAGCATTTAATTCAAATTGTGATAAAAAGCTATGAAGGAAAAAGAGTACTATGACAGTGTAGGGGGAGCTAGTACTAGACTGGGCAATCAGGAAGGGCCACCCTGTGAAAGTAACTTTTATGGAGAGCCGAAGGGTTAAGCAAGCGTTAACCAGGGGAAGGTTTGCTGGAAGGTGGTGAGGGCTGTTCAGACAGCAGGGATAGTGTAAGCAAAGAACCTGAGGCAGAAAGGAGCTTGGTGCTTGAGAAAAAGAGAGAAGCGTATGTGGCTGGGACACAGTGAGCCAGAAGACAAGCCCAGGAGGCAGACACCAGGCCATGCATGGATTTGTGGCATGTGTTTAGGTTTCTGAACTTTATCCTTAGAGTAGTGGTAACACATTGAAGGAAGTGTCATGAACATATTTATGTTTTTAAAAAGATTGCTCTGGCTGCTGTGTGGAAAATGAGTTTATGTATTAGAAAATATGGTTGATATCATAATGGCCTCCCAAAGATACCCACATCCTAATTCCCAGAATCTGTGAGTATGTTAAGATACATGGCAAAGGGAAGGTAATTAGCTCATCGGCTGACCTTATCATAAAGAGATTACCTTGGATTATCTGCGGGGGGCCCAAAGTAATCACAAGGGTCCTTAAAAGTAGAACATAGGGACAAAAGACATGGTCAAAGAGATACAACATGGCTGGCTTTGGAGACGAAGGAAGGAGGTCACAATCCAAGGTATGTGGGTAGCTTCTAGAAGCTTGAAAAACCGTAGAAATAGATTCTCTCCTACAACCTTCAGAAGGGAATCAAACTCACCTTGATTTTAGCCCATTGAGATCCATGTAAGATTTCTACAGAAATGTAAACAAAAAATTAATGTTGTATTTAAGCCACTGTGTTTGTGATAATTTCTTCTAGCAGTAGAAAACTAACGCTAAGAGGCATAAG